GGCTATACAATCAAATAGGCTATCAACTCCCCTCTCTCCCCTGTCCCCTCACTTCCCATACCCTCCAGGAGCCCTTACTCCCCTCAGTGTCTCTGCTCTCTCTCTCTCTCTCTCTCTCTCACACACACACACACACACACACACACACACATATGGCTATACCCTCCAGTTTTCTGAGTCCAAAGCACATGCTCGCTTGTCTATACCTGCTCATTGGGAACGGTGCGGGTCTGAGTTAGGTTCCCATGTCCTTACATAGACTGTGCTTGACAGGAACTTACATTGTCTCCACAAGGAGACAAAACAACAGCTGTCATCCATGCTTGTCAGAATAGATCTGCTCCAAAGACAGTTTGGCCTTTCTTCAGGGCCCCTCAGATGGATTTGAACCACTAATGCTCTTAACTAGCAGCTGAGTATATTAACTGTGTACCTGCCCAAAGACTCCGTTTTCACCAAAGGGGGGCCTTTTAAAGCCACGGAGCCTCACGGAGCATCAGGTTGGGCTTGGAAGCCTTTTCTGAGGGGCGGGGGGTGGATGGGCGTGAGGGGTGCTTGTGCCTCAGTCATGCCCACTGGGGGGTGGATCTCTCTAACGAGGGTGGGGCAAGCAGCTCAGGCTGTGCCCCTGGGAGACATTCAAACGGTGATCCTGAGTTACTGAAAAACAGTGAGTTAGAATGCAAAGTCCTGGCCACAGGAAAGGGTGCTGCCCAGCCATGGAGCGGAGCGCTCTCTGGGTGCAAAACCACCCCGGCCACCTCCCAACCTCCCAGATCTGGCGAGATGAGTTTTGAGCATCTGGCTGGTGAGTGTGAGTGCCCTTGATCTTGAAACCCAGCTGGATGCCCCAACCCCCCACCCCACTCCCATCCTTTCAACCAACCAGAGCCTTGGAGAAGAGGCTTCTCAAGAACCTTTGGAAAGGACAACTCTGTTTGCACACATCTGCCTGTGGTCTCTGCCTTTTGTGCCCGCAACACCAGCTGCCCTCCGAGGTCAGGCTCCAGGGGAGGCTGCACCTAATCTTGCCCTGCCCGATTTTGTGTTTGCCTTTTAAAATTTTTCATTCGGCTCTCATCTGCTCTTCTGTGGGTTATTGTGAAACCCCTACCCTTCCCCAAAAGTTCCCCGGAGGTGGAACGATATGTGAGAACAATTTGCACCTTAAGGCTGGTGGGTCAAACCGACACGGCAGTGCCATCAAAGAAATGCCTGGCACTCTGCTTCTGAAACAAATCCTTATGGCCAAGAAAACCCTGAGAGGAAGTGCGGTCTCTGTATCACCTTGGTGGTCGCTCGAGTCCGGGGCCACTGCACAGCAGCAGGTTGGGTTTGCTGTTTGGGAGGGGGGGGGGGGGTTGCCAGCCTCATACTGACCACACAAGACAGAACTGCCCCCAGGGGGTTCTTGACGGTTTGCTCCAAGTCTTTCTCCATGGAGCCCCTTGGGGGGGGGTGGGGGTTGAACTGTCTCCCAGGGCGCCTACGGTTTGGGTTACCCTTCAGAGTTGCCCCCCACAAAACACCGGGCTCTGCCCACACAGGGACCATTGTCCTCCACTCCTCTCCACCCTCTTCTGACGCTGCTTTACCTTTCTCTCCTGTCTCCTAGGATTGTCCGACAGTGGACCTGTGAGGTCTTGTAAGGTTTCTCGAGTGGGTAAAGAATTCACACCAAAGCCTGTTTTGTAACCTAAGTGGGTTTTTGTAAAGGGCAGGACAAGTTTCAGGTGTTAGTCTCAAAGAGTACCCGCTATCCCTGGGAAGCATGGCAAACTGCGCAGAAGCCAAGCGGAAGTTCCCAACTGGACATGACAGCCACGTGGAAAAGAGTACTCCAGCATGTGAAACAGGACCAGAGAGGGAGCCAGAGCCTGCCCTCTGCCTTTATCCTGAGCCAGCCCCTGGCTAGGGGAGTCAGGTTGAAGGTATTGGTTGACCCCATTGGCTTTGTTAAACACACCTGGGTGATGTCATGGGTCTAGGCCTAGTTTGGGCCTCCCAGGGCTACCTCTCACCTGGCTGGGGGCTTGAATTTGGGCATGCTCAGTTTGGGAGTCTTTGTAGGAGTTTAATGATCTCCTGATTTCCTTCCAATCTCCTCTGGGGGACATGTGCAGGCATGGGAGGGACCACCCCCCTTGTCCCTGAATCTAGCTACTTAACAATCTCCTTATGTGAAAAGCCAAAGATCGCCCCCTGGCACTAAGGAGCTTCTGGAAGTTGATTGCATGGCAAGAATCAAGAGCCGGGGCAGGTCTTGAAGTCCGGGCGCCAAGTTGGAGCCAGGCATGCTCCTTGACCTTGGGGTTCCCAATAACAGGGAGACACCCCCCCCCCCTTCCTGCCCCCAAGAGGGCCTGTGATCAGAGCAGCTCCTGCCCCCTTTCCACTGGGGAAACGGAGCAGGAGCCACCGCGCGGGCCCTGGCTTGTCAGCGCATTTCACAGGTGAGCTGGAGGGCACCCTCGAGCCTCCCAGGAGCCCCACCTGTGGCTCCCTCGCCCGGACCCAGCTAGGGAAGCCCGGGCTTGCCCACCCTCAGCAGACGCCGGTGTTCTTCCAGGGCAGCCCGCCGCCCGTTTCTTCCCTGCGCGCTTTTGATGGTTCTGTCCAACTCGGATGCAGCTCGGATCCCGCCCTGGGCCAGGCAGAACCAGAGGCTCCGTTCCTAGCAGCTTTCCAATGAATACGCAGAGGGTCCGATCTTCTTGGCCTGAACAGTCCCTGGGGCAGCAGCAAGGGAACTTGGAATCCCACGGATGTATAAATGGGCAAAATATGCCTCATGGCCGGAGCTGGGTGATGGAGGCCTGGGTGCTTATTACACTCGCCCCTCTACCTTTATTCTTGTTTGAAATGTTCTACAATCACAACAACATGCAGAACAAAGGACCCCACCACAGCCCCAAATACACAGCCAAGTATTTAAACTTCTTAATACGGTAAGTACTATGTTTCCCTGCAGACTAATAGTGGCTAAAAAAACTCACCGCCGTTGAGTTAATTCCAACTCAGAGGGACCTTAACGGAGAACAGAACCATCCCGGTGGGCTTCAAAGGCTGTGGGGTTTTATGGGAAGAGAAAACCTCATCTTTTTCTCTCTAAGAGACTGATGTTTTGTCATTATTGTGTTTTCTTGAAACATATTTTTCTTGACATATCTTACTCATTCCAATAGACCCCGTTCCTTCCCGTGCAGTTCTGATGTTCAGTCCCATTGGGTAGGGCTATACAATCAAATAGGCTATCAACTCCCCTCTCTCCCCTGTCCCCTCACTTCCCATACCCTCCAGGAGCCCTTACTCCCCTCAGTGTCTCTGAAGGGTCATCTATCTTGACTACCATGTACAGAGCGATCTTAAATGAACAAATGAACACACACAAGCTTCACATGACTAATGAGGAGTGTCACATACGGACCACAATAGGAAGGGGAGGCAATCTAAAAGAACTAGAAGATAGTTCTGTGTGCCATGCCACACCCTGGATTTATCCTCCGTTCCAGGCGGTAGATCTTGTGGTTAGCTGTACATCATGTAACCCACTGATTAGTTCTTGTAACTCTTTCCCTGGCACCACTCCCTAAAGTGATATTTTGCTAAGAAAACTGAACCCACTGTTGCTGGGTTGATTCCAACTCGTAGTGGCCTTCTAGAGGGTTTCCCAGGCTGTGAATCTTCACGGGAGCAGGAGGGCTGGTGAGTTTGAACCACTAACCTTGTGGTTAGCAGTCCAATGCTTACCTGACAGTGTCACTAGGGCTTCTTGCTGAAAGAGAGTTGCCTGAAAGAATCAAGAGGAGCCCCTGAGTGGGGCAAACAGCGCGACTACCAAACAGCATGTTAGCGATTTAGCTCCACTCGGAGGGGCCGCAGAAGTAACTTTGGCAATGGACCTCCCCAAACATCACCAGTGAAAACCCTGCACAGAGTTCTTACTCTGGCACGCATGGTGCCAGCATGCGTCTTGGCTGGGGGCAAATAAAAATCTTCATGGGGGAAGTGAGCTGGAACTCTTCGTGAGGTGGGCCTGGGAAACCTCAGAATTCGTGGGAAGTGGCATGTTAGACACTCCAGGGAGCTTCAAGGGCACAGGTGTGGAGGGAGTACGATGTAGTGCTCCCCAGCTAGAGTCTAAGGTCCCCGGTAGCCCAAACGGGAGTCCTGGTGGTGCAATGGTTTACACATTGGACAGTGAAATGCAAGGTCAGCTGTTCGAGACCACCAGTCCTCTCCTGTAGGAGAAAGATGAGGCGCTCTGTTCTCATAAAGTCTCAGAAACCCACAGGGTCAGTTCTATGCTGTCCCATAGTGGCGCTGAGCGTTAGAATCGACTTCCTGGCAGTGAGGGCATATTTGTTGGTTTGTTTTGAATAACTCGGTGACTCAAACTCACCCAGTACAGCCATGAAAGAAAGGCCTAGTGACCTGCTTCTGTAAAGGTTACATGGTGAGTGAGAGCGACATCAGCCCTTTGGCGAGTTCTCTGTAACACAGGGGCATCGGGAGTCAGCAGGTTTAGCTATTTGTTTGGGGGGAGGGAACCCTGCTGGTTACGGGAGGGGCTGCCAATCACAGGGTCTGCCGCTGGAAACCACCAGCTAGCTGCTCCTCCGGAGACAGTGGGGCTTTCTACTCCGGTCAAGAGTTGGGAGCCCACAGGGCTACTCTGTCCTGTGGGGTCCCTGTGGGTTGGAATGGACATTTAAGTTAGTGAATTTTTTAGAAGCAGCTGGGGACGGTGGGGTGG